ATTGAGATATGTTTTCTTCGACTTATTGATTATAATTTGTTTATTTCTGAAAACAATTTTAAACATTGGAGTAGTTTGTTATTAAAATATATTCAAGAAACTTTTTATTTTTCTGGAACAGATCCACGCAAAGATTCTGTAGATAATAGCAATTATTATCATCATCATCACCATCATCACCATCATCCTCATAATCATCCATTTATTAATGACATTTTAGAAAATCAACATTCTATAGTAAAATTGCAAGAAATTATGAAATCTATGGATGAATTTGAAAGTTTAGCTCAGAGATCTTGTCAGAATGATTCATCGAGTGGCAAATATCAAAATCGTAAAAGTACCAGAATCACGGCAAATTGAGAAGGAAGGAAATTATATAAACATGACGAATACATTTTTATTCGCTTTTTAAAGATATTTTCTTCAATTCACACGTATATATTTATCTTATTTATCATCTATATTTTATTTCATTTTAATTTATGTATTATATTAGAATTTTTTTCGTTAAATTTTTTTTTTTTTTTTTTTTAAAAATAAAAAATTTTATTATCAACATCAACAAACCAATTATAATTATCAAGAGTATTCTATTCGTCACAAAAATATTAATGTATTGTAACAACAAGGTTCCGAGAACTTTTCAATATTGGAAAGTTTATTAATCTTGATAGCAAAATTTTCAACAACAAAAAAAATTCAAAATATGCACAGTTTGTTTCGTGTTCCACTTGTTATTACTTTACTTTTTAACCCTGTCAAAAATATGATGAACTTTTTTGTTGTTGATTTTGCTATTATTGCAAAGTTAGTTTCTGCTATTGTTAATATCATGAGAAGTTGAGAAATTAAAATAAAATTTTTTTTTTTTTTAAATTTTATTTATGTGTTTTATGTACCAAATGCCAAATATGTTGATCTAGTTCATAAAAAAAAAACGAGTATGAAACTGGTCACACTAATAATTTGGGAAATTTTATTGATAAGCCTTAGCCAAGTTTTTTTTTTAATTGAAAAAAGTGTGCGAAAAATAAATAATGGCTTGAAAAAGCACGAGAATTTCATGGACTTAGGAGTAACCAAAAGTACCCCGTCATTTGAATCAATCATTCATCAGTAATGAAGCTGGCCACCAAACTTAACGAACGAATTCTAATTTTCGTAGTTTCGCTAGAGTTATATAAGATAATAAATTTACTATTCTTTTTTTTTTTGAATTTGATGATTCTGTCGAAACACAGCAACACACACACACACACACACACACACACACACACACAATATACACATTAAAAACGTTAGAAACTTGCTCAGGTCAAGATCATCAGAGGAATTAGTTTATGAATAGAGGAAGATATTCATAACAAATATTTCTTGCGTGCGATAACACTTTAAGCCACCCCTTCCATAATAATTTTTACTTGAAGCAAGACACGTTAATTTTCAATTATTTACTTGGATAAACGGTTATAAATGTGCAGATGATGACGACGACGATAAAACAAGTAGTCGTCGAGGTGAGATTATCCTATTATCATGTAACAACTTATGTCGTTGAATTGTCTTTGTTGGGTATTATTAACATTAATATTGTTCTTCTGTTTTTAGGATGAAACTGATCAACCAATTAATTAAAGTATGAGGCTAACTGAACTTGAAACTAATTGGAGCCTGAAACATCCAACAATTGATTAATATAAAAAGATGCTAGTAAATCTTGGGGCAATTGCGAAACAAATTGCTGAAAGTAGACGCATTTTGTGATGTAGAATGCAACACTATACAATTTGCGTTCTGCTGCAGCAAAGGTAACTAATTAGTTGATCAAAAAAATATTCATTCATTCAAGGTTTATTATTATTTAAGTTATAATATGTATGTATATTGTTTATCAATTATTATTAATAAATCTATTTTCATTATTATTTATTATTTATTATAGTAGTAATTGCAATAGATATTGATAGTTGGTTTGTTAGAAATAGAATTATTTTTTTTGAATAATAAATCTCAAGAAAAAAATCATCTGCTATAGTTAAGATTAAATTCAGTGTTGGCTATAAAAAAACTTTCTTATCAGGTTTTACTCTATGGGTATTTGTGCTTCCCATGCTTGCTTGTCTTAAACCCTGAAGCTTCGTAATAAAAACTTGCATGTTGGCTAATGGTTTGTGTGATTGTCTGCATCCTGCACTTTGCATGGGTCGAATTACTGACCAATATTTGTAATCCAGGATTAATAAGCCAGATCGAATTTTCAAGATTAAATTCCTGCGCAACGTTATTGATAATTCTTTACATGAGAGTTGGATCTTGTTTAGTAATTTTTGATGGACTAATATGGTATCTTCATCCAAAACAGTGCCAATCCAGTCACACCAATGTTTCTTGTTCTCGCCTCACTTCATGGTGTCCAGTTAGACCTTCTCGACAAGTACACTAAACATTATATCTAGAAAAGGATCAGAACATAATACCTGTTTAAGCCAAAGCTCTTCCCTTTCAATCTAAAGTTTCCAGTCCAAACTATTTTTGGAAAAAAGGACTAATATTTTTTTTCCTATTTTAATTTAAATAATTTCGACTATGTCATGAAGAGCCATTATTCGTGAATTACCTGATGTTTCGCCCGAAATAGATTTGGTTCTATAAATATAAAAAATAATAACGATAGAATAGAAAAAACAAAAATTAAAAAAAAATACAATGGTTATGATTCTATTAAAAGCGCTTGATTCAGTTTGTTCACGATTTTGAACAATATTTTCAATGGATTAATGTAGTGACTTGTGTAACTTGTGTTGATATTTGTGAGAAGAGGCACCGGTTAACCGATATCATTAACATGTAAATATTCCTAATTACTCACTAGTAACATCTACTGCATTTGTAAACGTTTCTAATAAGGGTGCAGACATATTGCTAAACTATAACTCTATATTGTAACTATATTGTAACTCTTGGAAAGGGTTTGCCGTATGATCGATCGTATGTTGTTATCATAACTGTTTATCTTTTCTTTTGTTTAAGTGACGCTAACATAAATTAGCAAACAAATTTACCAAAATTCCTGTTTTATTTAATTTCATACGTGCACTTTCTGTATGTCATACTAGAGTGATAACCTCAAGTGCTATATTTTTGCTCCCTTAGTTCCTAATGATATCTTCCAACTTGAAAACAAGGCTTGCAATTGATTTTATTGCTGGTTCGCCACCAGACGTATCTTGCAACTCAATCGTTTGTCAATTTATTATGGAAGGATCTCTAGTTTTATGTGAAAAATATGTTGTGAAGCAATTTTTTGCCTAAAGAAGTGGACCAAACAATTCAAACTATCACTATTTGTTATTTTGAAATATTACTGATAAATCAAAGAATGTGTATTATTATTTTTTATAAATATCCAAAGAAAATGATATCGCTGGTAATAAATATCATTAATCTTTGATGCTAAAGAATTTAAAGTTTGGTATTAACGTAAGTGAGTATATAAAGAAACAAAATAACAATAACGAATGTTTTTTGAGATGGAATTTTTTATATTGGATTATTATAATCTATTTTTATTATTTTGAGTTTTAAACATATATGGAAAAGTTTAAGTTCACTAATTAAGTAATTGAACTCTGAAACAATCTTTATGAACACATTTTTTCATAAACACGAACCCCTAGACACGCACGTCTTTGTCGGCCACATGATGTAATCGTGGCACGTAACACGTGACAATTCACAAAGTTTGATAGCAATGTTGTATGAAAATTATTTCAGATCAAATGAAAATGAGCTTTACCATACCATACGTAAAGATAAATATTATTAATATACTACTATTGAAGTTCATTCATAGCTTTGATGTATTGACTGATTGACAAGTTAACAACCATTTTGTGTGTGAGACCAGGCAGGATTTTTGAATGGACCCTGAAAAAATTTTTGTGTCATGCTGACCCCATATTGTTATTATATATGTAATATATATGATGATTGTTTTTTTTTTGCGGTGACACCTGGAATTTGTTTTCCTTCTCTCATATTATTAATATATATATATATATATTGTTCTTTTTAAAAAATTTTCTTTAACCCAATCAGTCAAACAAATAACAAAATCTAGGAAAAAAATTAGAAAACAGAAGAAAGTAAAGTAAAAAAATAAAATAAATCTAAAAAATTCCATGTCTTCCCCAAAAGTTACTAATACTTTTGTTAGTTCCATTACTGATGTAACTAACGATGCAATTGATGGCGCTTCTGATGGTGCTACTACTACTATTACTATTGCTAATAAAACTACTACTACGAACGGCTCTACCACTAGTGATGAATCTGCTTCTGACACCGATAATGATAATAGTAATAATAATAACTCCAACATTGAAAATGAAACTGATACAAACAACAACAATTACAACATTACCACGACCACTACTTCTAATACCACTTCTAATGATGAAAAAGAGAAATCAAATGAAGCTAAAGAAGAAACAGATGAAGCTAAAGAAGAAAATGATGGTGATGAAAGTAAACAAGCTTGGCAAATGGTTTGGAATAACGATGTTCAAGCATATTATTATTGGAACACTTTAACAAATGAAACAACTTGGACAACTCCAACCGAATTACTACAACAACAAGAACATCACCAATCACTAGAACCTGATAATAATATTACAAGTGATAATCAATATTATGGATATTCAGAACAAGATTATTATCAATATTATTATGGCTATTATCCAGAAGGTTATTATTATGAATATGATCCAAATATTAATACTTTTGTTAGAACTAACAACACTAATATCAATAATATTAATAATAACATGTTGCTAATACTAATTCTATTCATTATTATTACTACTACTACTACTACAGATGCTAATAATAACAACGTCAATTTAACATCTTCGGTAAATTCTTCCACAGCCAACACAGATCAGACAAATCCTTTAGATTCATTATTAGATAAAATTGATACAGAAGTTAAGTCTAAACTTGATGGAAATAATACTAATAACAGTAGTAGTAGCAGTAATAATAATAATAATACTTCTTCTTTTCTATCAAACCCTCCCACGAATTCTTCTACTTCTGCTGCTACTATATATTCACCAAATAATAATACGACAACACGGTTGTCATCATCAACACCACAATTATCGACCATCACATCACCATCTTCATCGTATTCTACATCAGATGATATTTCTATTAACAGTAATAATCAATATTCTAAAGAGCTAGATGGCAATTCTGAATATTATTCATTTTTAGCACAACATGGCAGTAATAATGACAACAACAGTAGCGAACCTGCTGGTTATACTGTAACAGGAAGGTTTAATTCACGCACTGGTAAATTTCAACGAGATCCCACTTTGAATCCTGAAAAATTTTCTGCAGAAGCAAAAGCAGCTAGACAAATGTCTTATTTCTTTGATTACGAGCGTTACACTGAGCAAAGAGGATTAAATTATGCTGTCGCCGCATACAACAACAGTACAAGTTTTCCATCTTTGGCAACATTAACGGCACCAATCACACCACCAACAACAATATCAACAACAAAATATAAAAGTAATAAGAAATTAAATAAAAGAGAAATTGAAATATTAAAACAAAAAAGAATCAAGAAAAAAGAAATGAAGAAAAAAGCTTGGTTAATTGGTGGGGATTAATTATAATAATAATTTGAGTTTTTATTAGACGTGTGCACACAAAGTCATATGTTTGTTTGTCATATGTTTTAAATAATTTAAGTATATATTATATATATATATCTATATCTATATATAATTGCGAAAGTAATATCATATTATTTTTAATGTAAAAGAAAAACTTGATTGTTTCGTTTATATAGAAAAGATTATTAGATATTTTTTTTATTAAAAAAAATAATTTATTCATTATATATATGTCACTATGATCAATTAATATTGGTGACTCGTCTTTAAAATTTTTTCGAAACCCGAAATATTTTGATTTTGTGTAGCATACATAATTCTAATAATTCTCAAGACAGATGCTAAAAATAAATTTAAATAATTGGTGTTGTATAATTTTTCTTTATATCGTCACTTTATTCATTGATGATTTGTTTAATTTACAAGAGTTAGCAATTTACTTTGTTATTTTCCAAAGGTTAATTTGACGATAGATTTAAATAAAGTAATGGAAAAGTGTTTCATAATTTCAACAATAAAAATAAACAAATAATAATCTTGAAACAATTGAAACAAGGAATTTTTGGTATACTTTTGTTAATTTAAAAAAACAATCATAAATAAATACACAAATTTTTAATTTTATTATTAAAAAATTTTTTAGGAAAAAAATGTAACATAATTTATGTATAGTTTATATAAGATATATAAATAAATAAAATTTATTTTCAAATTGTAACTTTATATTACAAGCACGCCTCCACCACTTTTTTTTTCTAATCCATTTTTAACACTCTAAAACGTCTTTCTTTCTCTCTATTTCGAATTTTTTTTTCATCATTCTCAAGGGGGGTTCTATATAAAAAAAAACTTAATAATA